AATATACAATTTTGATGACGACAATCTCTAATCTTTCAAGGGATTTGGTAGAGGAGATATTCTCTAGGGTTCCTTCGACATCTCTAAGAGCAGTGAGATCTACTTGCAAACTATGGAACCTTTTATTCAAAGATCCGAGATTTACAAAGAAGCATCTTGGTAAGGAGATTCTGGTAACCATGGTGTGTGATTTTAGGGTTTGTGTGATGAGGGTCAGTCTCCAGGGAGCCTATAACCACAAAGATGGCTTACTTGATCTATCTATAAAGCAATTAGGTCAACTTAATGAACTCAAGATAGGCCAAGTCTTTCACTGTGACGGCTTATTGTTATGCATCCCCAAAGCCGCTGCTGTGAGGCCTGTGATTGTGGTATGGAACCCGTATTTGTGGCAAGTCAAGCAGATCCAACCTAGAAACAAGTACACCATCTTCGATAGGTATGATATCGGAAACGACAACAACAACAACCCCAAAATCTTGAGGTGTTTTGATCCTTACGACCTTGGTGATTACAACAAAAATGTTGAGTACGAAATCTACGATTTTAAGTCTAATTCATGGAGGGTTCTTGATGTTACTCCCGACTGGTATGTACCGTACTATCATTGTCGTGGTGTGTACTTGAAAGGAAATATTTACTTTGTTGCTCAAGAAAGATTGAAAGAAAGAGAAGTAGTGATTGAACAATTTTTACTCTGTTTTGATTTTACAAGAGAGAGATTTGGACTGCGTATTCTTCTTCCTCTGTTGATTCACTCTCGTAGTGCCGATTATGTGATTCTATCTGCGGTTAGAGTAACGCAGCTTGCAATGTTATTTCACTGCGTGGATACAAATGAGATGGAGATAAGAATTACAACTAAGATTGAGCACAATGCGGTGTCGTGGAGCAGTTTCTTAAGAGTTGATATGACACCCGGAAGATTTCATTTTAAGTATGGGAGTTTCTTCGTGGACGAGAAGAAGAAAGTGGTCGTGGTTTTTGGTAATGACAGAAAAATGAGTAGGTACAACAAAGCTTACGTGATTGGAGAGGATGGATACTACAAAGAAGTGGATCTTGGACTCGGAGAATCTTATTGTTGGCCAAGTGTGTGCCCTTATGTTCCAAGTTCGATGCAGATCCAACAAGATCTACGTTCAATAGGCAAAAGGAAAGAACGCGATTATTAGTAGTCCATTTTACAATACTCTGTTTGTTTCTTGCATGTTCTACATTTGTTCATACATTTTGGTTTTTTCTTCCCTCAAGTCTTGTTCCTTACAATTTTGAACAAGACTGGTTTTAGTAAACAAGACACAAACATGTTTGATGATGAGAAACGCAACTTAACTATTTATTGATTACATTTGCTTGTTAAGGTTTTCAGTTCCTATCGTGTTTAATTACCTGATCAGGTTCTTGAGCATAATCTCTTAGAGCATGATTATAGGTAGTAAATATAGTGGGTTTTTATGTATTAAATCCATTTAATTAAATCAAAATCCATGTTACCCCATATTTGGGTTTCTAAATATAACATCTATATTACTCCACATTTGGATAATTATACATCTCTCTTTCTCTTTATCAATCCCATACAATTAATATTATAAAATTCATATATTACCCCAACATATTTTACTACATATAATCATGCTCTTACTTGGTCCTATGTAGTTGTGATCTTGAGAATTAGTTAACAAGACACAAATGGTTTTCGCTGATCAAAAGCGGGAGGGGCTTGTTTTAGATAATTAAATGAGCTGAGGTAAACCATACATTATGACATTTAGTTGAGGATTTGCCTTCATTTGGATCCGATTTCATGACTTTCACCA